GCCTCGGGAGTCGTGAACGATGAACTCCCCAACTGCTGGGAATGTCCCAAATGCAACCATGCTGGGAAAAGTGGAAAAGTGAGTATGAATATTCAGCCACAAACTATGTACCGATCTTTAAGAGGTTTAAAAAGTGTGTTCAGTGTGAAAACATTCAAACTATTTTAAGCCTTCTGAAGATAGTTTGGGTATTACTCATGGATTACAGATGCATTCTGCAAGGTATCACTTGTATATAATTATATGTATGTGTGCAAACCGGCTTGCCACATCCTATTTATACTTTTTTTTTTTTTTAGTTTCTGAAAGTCACTCGCTTGTGACTGTTGTTTGTTCCAGAAACAGGAAACCACCGACTAACACATGTTTTGTGTTGTGATCACCGTGACACACTTCATTAGACCGCAGCACGGCGGCAGTGCAGTTGGCTTTCCCCTCGGCTATAGGCTAAAGGTATAAAGTTGTCTCGCAATTTGTGTCCCCTTTGGTATTGAAGCAAAAAAGGGGCCCGGGATTCAAGTACGCCTCCAACCTCCCCGGCTCTCTGCTGAGGGAACAGAAGCCTGTGAAGGAGGAGGTGGGGGACGTTTCCTCCGCGACCAAGAGGAGACCCGACCGAGAGGAGACACCCAGGTTCCGCCCCGAGGAGCCTCTCCACCGGCTGCCACCGCTGCTGTCTCCCAGCAACCTGCCGCGGCCCAGGCCCGAGGACAAGCTGAGGAAGAAGAGGAAGCTGTTTGATGACGACGAGGAAGAGGACCTCGGCGTGAGGAAGAAGGTTTGTGTCATTCACGCAGTGGCGGATTTCGTTTGTGACATTTTTAGGTGCACTTTGTTGCGCCAAACCGAAGTGATTCTCATACAAGTGTTTTTTTTTTTTCTTCAAAGGAAAAGTCGGACGATCCTTATTTTTCCAAACTTCTGCACCGAATCAAGACCGAAGAGGAGGACGACGACGCATATTACGAGGAGGAGGATGAAGAGGGACGGGGGCCTCCCTACCGCGGCCTTTTGGAGAGGAAAAGGCCCTTTGGAGACACCGAAGAAGAAGGGGATGAAAAGGACTCCAAGAATGCACTTTTGAATCCCTGCGTTAAAACCCCCGTTGGGGACAGCGACCAGTCCCTGTGCAGCTCCCCGCAGGCTGGCCCCAGCAGCGAGGGCGGGAGCGAGACCCAGGAAAAGGGTCCGTGTCCTAAAGCTCGCCGCAAGCGCCGCTTGCCGAACAGAGAGCTGAGCCGAGAGCTGAGCAAAGCCCTGAACCAGGAAATCCAGAAGACGGAGGACTGCCTGGCCAACGAGAACCGGCAACCCCTCAAGGTGGAGCCGGAGACGGAAAACGAGGAGCCCAAGAGGTTGTTCCGCAACGGCAGCGAGCTCGGGGATCAGAGGCCCCACCTCAAGGCCAAGGAGATGAACGGGACCCCCTGGGAGCTGCGCCACTTCTACCCGAGTCAGATCACTCCGCTGGGCTTCAACAGGAGCACGCCGACCAACCGGCCGGTGCCCCCGCACTCGCCGCCCAAGTGTGTCCAAATGGAGCGGCACGTCATTCGGCCCCCGCCGATAAGCCCGCCTCCCGACAGACTGCCCCTGAGAGACGGTAAAACGCACGTCATTCAGCGCGAGGTGTGGATGAAGATCTTCGGCTACCTCGCGCACCAGGAGCTGTGTGTCTGCATGAGGGTTTGCAAGACGTGGAACAGATGGTAGGTGCACAGGGCACGCGGGGCATGTTTTAAACACAACGTACGAATCCTTTTAAAGAAATAACATGAAGCCCACGTCTTTCTCTTTGGTGTCAAGGTGTTGTGATAAGAGACTTTGGACAAAGATTGACCTGAACCGCTGCACCTCCATCACCCCGCTCATGCTGAGTGGGATTATCCGCCGACAGCCCCTCTCTCTAGACCTCAGCTGGACCAACATTTCCAAGAAACAATTAAGCTGGCTTATAAATAGATTGCCAGGTACCTAACTACGAGCGCTAATTGATCTGTGAACAAGGAGAACTCTGTTTTTTTGTTTCTGTGGTTCTGTGTCCGCGTTGTAAAGCGCCGCTGTGTTGTTTTTAGGTTTGCGGGTGCTGCGGTTATCGGGGTGTTCTTGGGCAGCTGTATCCGCGCTCTGCACCTCCAGCTGCCCCCTACTGCGCACCTTGGACGTCCAGTGGGTGGAGGGACTAAAAGACCCACAGATGAGGGATCTCCTGTCGCCCCCCACAGACAACAGACCAGGTAATTTGGGGAGGGGGCGGCGAAAAAGAACAAGCCGTGCTTTAAATGTGTTTATGACAACCCTTAATGGACTACTTCATTCATAGTGGCTAACATTGCACATGGTACCTACCCAGTTGATACTCCAAATTAGAGGTTATTTTCTGTAAAACAGATTATTTCTCCTGGAAAACCAATATTTCCTCCCCCTCCAGAACTTCTTCAGGATTTGGGTTTTAGAACCAAAGCATAGAAAAAAGTTTAATGCAGGTTAGAAGTTTCACATTTCCAGCTTTGACTCCCCAACGATCCCTGTTGCCTGTCATGCACCTGTCGACCAGAGACAGCTACTGATCTGGCAGGTTTCTTGCGTTACCCACCGACAGGTCAGCTGGATAACCGCTGCAAGCTGCGCAACGTGGAGGACCTGCGGCTGGCCGGGCTGGACATCACCGACGCGTCTTTACGTCTCATCAGTCGGCAGATGCCCTCTCTGTCCATGCTGGACCTGAGCTACTGCAACCATATCAACGACCAGTCTGTCAACCTGCTGACAGCAGCAGGGACCACGACCAGAGACTCCCTCACAGATATCAACCTTTCAGGTGAGACTGTGGATTATTTGTAAAGGGGGTGTTAAGTCGGTCGGCTCCCGTCTCAATAGAGCTTATGGAAAAAGACAGGACCATGTTAAGAGTCTTGTTAGATCATTTGTGTTGGTCCTACTTACGTAGTCGACATGTATTTCTGTTGATGATGCGAGAAATATGAAAAACCTTTTTGTTTAATGTAACAAGTTGTAACAAGACATATTATTGTTCTCTTGTTTTCTTTTAGTTTGTAACCGAGTCACAGACCATTCCCTAAACTTTTTTAAGCGCTGTGGAAGCATCTGTCAGATCGACCTTCGCTTCTGCAAGCAGGTGACCAAGACGGCCTGCGAAAGGTTCATCGCGGAGATGTCTGTAAGCGTCCCGTTTAGACTGAAAGAAGACAAACTCCTGCAGAAGACCAGCTAGTTCCTACCAGGATGCACATTTATGAAAGACTGTCTTTGCACTTAAAGGAACACGTTTATTTTCTTCTTAAACTGCTCCCTGTGATGGGTTTCTGAATCAATGTTACAGTAAACAAACCGCAGATAGAGACAGATTTCTGGATGGAGATCTTTGACGGACTTAAGGAGGTGACAGACATTCACTGGACAGACAAAGAGGAGACAGCATGCATGCATTTGTGTTGCGATTGTACTTTTTATAAAGACGTGCTTGTATTTGAGTTGTTTTATTTTTTATTCTTTAATTATTCGAAAACACAGCAGTTTTATACAAGCATAACTTCACGAGTTTAAGTGTCCTGGAGACGAGCGGAGAGACTGCATGGCATGTGGACGGAAAATTGTTCCCTTCCTCAGTTTGCTTTCATACACGTCTTCTATGTGCCAAAATCTGTATTTGACATTGATGTAACTTTAGTATCTGACGAATAAGCTGTACAGAAATAAATATGATTAAATTATCATAACTACATCCAGAATATATAGAATGTATTTCACGAATGATTAAACAAAGCTATCAAATTGCAGATCTCCGTTACACCCTCATGTCTTCACTTACCTTAATACTTTTAGCAATTGTTGAGTGCTGTGTTTAACATGCTTTACTCCAGCATTTCAACATTAACTTATTCGTGTCTTTTTACATTCTATTTATTCATGTATTAAGTAACACTTAACTCTTCCAGAGTTGGGTCAAATAATGCTTTCAAATAATTTATTGAGTGTTTTGAGCCAGCCAAACAACCCAAAAGGTAAGCGCCAGCGAACGTGTGACCGGTGGACTATAACGCAGTCATCCGACCATATTTGACAATTTTTACATTTAACAAATTGGGATATGTTTAAGTAATAACTCCATAAAGTAGGTGTTGTGTGTATCTTGGGGTGTGTTGTGCTGTAACCACCTCAGGTGGAGGTGATACTGTTTATATTTGTAAATCTAAAAAGTGCTAATATGCATTAAAATAATTTCATTTGTACCTGCGCTGAGTACGTTTTCAACCCTTTTCTCCCAAATCTGGCAAAATATGACATTTGGTAAAATATGTTCTTGCTCCCCGGAGACTGAACACGACAATGTAGTTTTGATGGAAGTATCTCTACAACTACTTGCTGGATTAAAAAATAAAATTGGTAAAATGAAACATATATATATCTCCCTGAGGATAAACTGTAATGATTTTTGATTCATTAATTTAATCTCCACATCACTGATGAAATTGCAACACTAATGCAATCTCATTAGCCTCAGCTGTGTGTATTGCTCATTAGCTAATGCTAACGTGCTAAAGCTAAATAGTTGACATGATAAACGCAACACCTGCTAAACGTCTGCACGTTAGCATGGCCAGTGTGAATGGTTCTCTTATAAAGCTCACAGCATTGTCTGTAAAATATCTGCCCTAATGAGTGATCAAAACGATCCACTCAGACTAAAACCCAAAGAATTACAACAATGTAAATCCTCCTATTAGCCCTGTTATCAGTGGACGAAAGTGGAAGAAAGTAAAAATAGGATTGATCTTTTGGCTTAACAATTTCACTTTGTTTAGTTAATTTAATATTCTACTCTATTTATTTTAGTCTATGTTGTGTATTTCTTTACATGTGTACATACAACTGCTGCTGTAGTGAAATCATTTCCCTTGAGATTAATAAAGTGTCTTTATCCAGTGTAATACCGGGAAGCTGCTTGTGATGCATTAGTATACAATAACAGACTCAAGATTAATTAAAATCTTTAATTACCAAAATAAAAAGTTCAACATTCCCGAATGCAAAGACCAAACTTTGATACCCTCTCTAATGAAAAGTGCAAACTGCTCTGCTACCTTCATGATTGTAGGAGTCTTTACTCTAATAGCAGCAATGTTGTGTGGGTGCAGTACACAGCTGGATACTTCTAAATGAGTTGTATAGTTGAAGAGGACGGGGATCTGTTCATGTTCTGGTTCATAAGGAACTACAGCTCTAGCAAACCAGGGCAGATACATTTTTCTAACAAATCATTTTAAATGTATCAAACTGTAAAACTAACATAACCGTGGGGACATTTTAATAATCTGATATAGCACTATTCAAATTAAAGGGAAATATATATATATATATATATATTACATATCATGTGGATAATTATATGCAAATGTACATGACCAAGTCATCATTTTATATTCCTTCTATACCACAGGTGTCAGTAAACTCGTAGTTATATCTTTGAAAAGTTAGTTCAACACATCATCCTTACATAAGAGAAAACTACAAAGCATTAAGACACTTCATTCCACGCCCACCAATATACAACAAAAAAAATATATAAACATTCAGTTTCACATCCACGGTTCAGCTAGAAAACAGGGAAACGGTTGTATGAGTTAGCACCGTTTTGTCTCTTGTCTCAAGTGCTGAGACAGCGGAGATTAGCTATTGCTGTAATGACACTTTGTATGACCATTTCAATGTGTAATGCATGACAATGCGCTCATGTAATAAGTGTATTACTAATAATGCAATGACTTCATCATAAAGTTGTCGTACGCTTGAGTTGCAATGGCAAACCAGCTGCTCACGTGTGGGCTGAGTTAACTTGAAAAGATCAGTGATTTCTAATTCACTTTCTACACCATTCAATTAACACAAAGCCACCATTACAAAGTCTGCGGTGGGTAGCGAGCAGTGGCCCATGAACATGCAGTGCTAAGAAAGAGCCTTCTGCTAAAATGTGCCACACAGTCGGAAGGGGTGAGAAGCATAAGGGCACGATTACCCGTTATCTGGCATCGTGTTCTTCTCCTGTGTGGTGAGGTTCTGCTATGCGGCGGTGGTCCTTGATATGTAGTCACTTGCGGTGAAAGATGTAAAGAGAGATGCTGTTAAGCTAAAGTTCCTAGGCGGGATATGAGGGAGACGCGTTGTGTTTGAAAAGACTCCACGTGGCTGAGCACCACACATTCTTCGCTTTGAAAACAAATATGCCCATAACAGACACCTTGGAATGAACCCGGATCAGAGATATGTTTACTTGAGAATTGACCGATGAGGCTCCTACACACATTTGCCATAGTATTTCAATGTGCAAATAATGGAAGAGTTGTAGGAAATTTAAACAGAGCATCCACAAAGTGAGTCTTCTTGGGGATCAAAGGTCATGAGCTGTGTGGCCAACGTAAGGTGCGGTTGCAGTCGGAGAGGCCGCAGGTTCTGCGGCGTTCCACTGATGCATTAGGACTTGAAGACGTGCACGGCCCTCACAACGTACTGCCTGCAGATCGGGCACTCGCTCATCCTCTTGCCGCACTTCGTGCAGGTGACCATGTGACCGCACTCCAGGAGGACGCAGTCGATCGTGGCGTCCATGCAGATCCTGCAGAGGTTGTCGTCTTGGATCGTCAGCGGACCCTTCTCACCGTCTGATGGAGATAGAAAGAAGGGGACTTGAAATGTGGGGGGTCCATCCACGATGCACTAAGGAAGGACAAAGGGCCGCCCGCCTACACACTCAGCGGCTTAATAAAACAATGGTCTTATCCAGTAGGCCCCATCTTAAGGTGAGGTCATGCTCACTATCACAGCAAAAATGTCAATGCCTGTTATGTGTCGAGGTGTTTCTATGACGACCGCACAGTCATTATCACTTGAAGCGTACTGTAAGTGAATATACAAGAACAAGAAAACAAGGGACACAGGGAATACAGATGTGGTGGCAACACGGTTTGTACGATGGGAAGGAGAGTCACAGAGAATACAGATGTGGTGGCAACAAGGTTTGTACGATGGGAAGGAGAGTCACAGGGAATACAGATGTTGTGGCAACACTGTTTGTACGATGGGAAGGCGAGTCACAGGTGGGGCAGGTGACCATGACAACAGTGGCAAGGAATCTATAAGCCTTACCTCTGATGGCCCCGTTGCAGATAGAAGGGGGAAGTGCTTCCACTTTAGTGCGGGCGGAGTAAAGGCAAGAGACACATCGTCATGATTCTGAATCAGACAACTCGTTTGAAAGGAATGCGCATGTGAGGGGTGCAGCTAATTGCACATTATTATCTTGATCTACAGAAGATCATATTGTCAGAGAAGGCGGAGATATTTGGTTCTATTGTTAGGAACAGGACATAGTTTCCAATAGTGACATCTGGGACAGTACACACGCAGTTGAGTGACAGCTTACCTGCAGTTACAGTAGTGCTCACATTTTCCACTGCAAGAAACACAAATTAAAATGACTTGAGCAACTTACAGGTGAGAAACATTAGAGCTAATAAATTGGTTCAGTAGATCAAGTCTATGGTACATAATCTAATCCATTATTTAAAAAATGTACAGCCAACTCACAAGGGACACAGTATTTAGACAAAGTTAATACGCACATGACTTCCTGTTCTCTTCAGTCTCCCTGTACAGTCTGTTGACGCGCTCCACCAGCTCCCACTTCTCACAGCACCCTGAGTAGTTGACAAAGTTCCTGGCGAGGATCTCCTTCAGCTGCCTCACAGACAGGCCCTCAATGTCCCTCAAGCTGGAAATGTCTGAGAGAGACGCTCTGGCCCGACATCGCGTCTGAGGACTGACCTGAAGGAGAGGAAATCCAGACTTTTGGGGACGAGACAAAACGGCACCTTGAGATTCCCACAAAATGGAAGATTGTCATCGTGCAGAACGGTGAGAGAGATAGCACATGACACGCAGTGACAACCTGTCTTCAGGGTAGTGCTTTTGAATATAACTGGAAGGTTGGAAGTATATTAAATGGTGGACTCGATTAATTTTAACAACGATTATTCGCGATTCATGGTTGCCGATTCGATTCATGGACGATCTGGGTTTTTTCGAACGATTCGATTCAGTGACTTGAAATCGATTCAGTAACTTTACTGCACAGTGCAGGCAAAGTTTCCGAGATCCCTGTTGTTTCTTGTAAGGAAATCAGGTTTAAATTAATTATGGATATTATAAACAAGCAAACAATTAATGGCAAATGTATTAACCTTTTATTTGAATCAAGTGCCATTTTCAATGTAAACATTACACAATAATTACACAATGTTTGGATCATTTTACAGAACCCCGGATTTTCAACCACATTGTAGGGTCGCATGTCTTTACAGATAAACTTGGCAATTGTTACTGTGATGTTGAGTTTTGTGCTGGCGAGGCCCGAGGTGTCTGCAGAGCTGGACCTGCTGCTGCTGCTGCAGCGGTAACGCTGCTAGAGGTCCTGACGGTCGGCGTTGTTTAATCACACGGCGCTTTAGTAGATGGCCGGAAAGATTTGTCGTGTTTCTGTGTTTTTTTATTTTGCTTCTACATATTCTACAAACAGTGACCGACTTATTTAGAACACCTCCGTGTTTGCAAAAGCCAAAATGTTTCCACACGCTGGATCGATAAGTTGGTTTGTAAATGTCTCGCTCGCAGTCGTCTCCTCCACGCTGTGTTTTGTTGTTGTTGTTCCAAGTTTCGCGCGGCTGCCGCTGCGTACTGATGACGTCACAGACAGGCAGACTGAATCGAGTGACGTTATCGTGTCTAAAGTGCTAAAAAACAAACAAACAAACAAACACACATCCATACCGTTTTTGTGCTTAAATCCAATGTGCAGTTTCCAAGTATCGATACAATCGATAATGTACCATTTCAATCGATTTGTAATCGATATATGTCGTCCGGAATGCCGATTTGCGGAGCACAGATCGATTCAGTTGGATCGCAGCAATATAAATCGATGTGAATGAATCGTTACACCCCTAGTGGACTCCCATTCCCAGTTGGATCTCCTGCAAATTGGGTTTTAGCGTTCCACTTCCACTCAGACCCAGCCATGAAATTGTCATTTTCGATCTCTACATTGCATAAGGACGGCAGGAAATCAGATCGGTCACGGATTACCTCAAGAGTGTGTTCACTCGCGTCCATGTTGAGAAGAGACACAGATGTGGCATCACCTATATCCTGCAACACAACCACGACAAACGTTAGTGTGCACTAGATGCAAGGTAAAAGCCAGTTAACTGAGGATCAGTATAAGACAATCACATCAGCTCATAGAAAAGCTTACTGTTCCCTAAGCAGGCCAAGTAAAAGTTTTAAAATTGATCCTAGCGGCTTGAAGCGGAGTCCCCTTTCAATGCCTAAAGTGGTGAAAACTAAACCAATAGTTCATTTATATTTTTTCAGCTGTAACTGTGTCTCAACTGATGATTACAAAGACATGGCTGATGTGTGGTTTCATTAAAAAGTCCTACATGGTGTAAAGTCAGTCCTTACCTGGTTGGTATCAGAGCTATCGCTCCTGCTGAGCTGCTCTTCCCGAGAGGCGACAAATGCAGACAGCTCTGAGGCCGACTGCGCGGTAGAAAGACCCTCCTCTTCCTCAATGCCTTGGTGACAGAGCACCAAGTCCACCAAGTCTTCCTTCTCCCTGCAGGTGTCGGTGGGGATGTTACGAAGCAGCAAGTACTGACGCAGGTCCCTGACTCGCAGGCGCATGAGCAGCGGGCGCTGAAAGGCCGTTGCGTTCAGCAAATGACATGTTGCACAAATGCGCAGGTTCTCCTGGAGGACGGAGCACAGAGAGCAGAAGCTCTTCTTGCAGTCGCGGCAAATGTACTGCAGAAAAAAACAGGGTGAAACAATCTTGTAGAAATTATGTCATTTCAGTTTGGACGCAAGATTTAGAATTTTGTTTCTTTTACAATGTTGATATTAATTTATATTATATAACATTAAAACAAGGAAAAACGGGAAGAGTGGAGTGACAACATTTGGGAAAGCCCATCAGTGCCAGTAGACCTTTCCTTCATTATTCAATAGCTCACATCTGCTATATTGGCCAAAAAAAACTCATTTATTTTAATTGACAAACATCAAACAGTAAGAAATGCAAGAAGTGGGATTAGACTGGCACAGTGACAAGTGAAAAAATGAGCGCCTGAGCCTCACATGAGCACTCAGTGAAGATATTACAGAACCACTATGATGTCCATCAGCACCAGCAATCACCCAGAACAGCACAGCCTGTTCCTTAGAAATTAGAAGCCTCCGGGGGAAATTAAATTTGGTTTAGCCTTTAGATTCTGCCAATTAGGTTCTCCGCTCGGAGGAGAAGCAGCTAGTGGTCATCTGCAATGAAAAGGTTTCTTTTGTAGCTATGATTAGAACACATTTTTTTTTAAATAATGAAGGTTTATCCTTACGCAGGGTTTAGATAATTTCCCTTTAATGTCAATTGGCTGGACAAGATTCCACACATGAACACTGGCCAATGGTCATCAAACAGGCAGCGCTGGTACTTACCTTCCTCCTGAACACAGAGAAAGCCTGACCGCAGCTCTTGCACACAAGACCGGGCGTCCCTGAGCCGCTGGGCGGGTATGTGGAGTACCCCGCACTGGGGGCGAACCTGAAGGGTCCAGCGCCGGCCCCGAACCCCGGCTGCTGGCCTCTGACGGCCCCGGTACCCATGACCTCATTCAGCAGACCGCAGCACGAAGCCCACATGGACGAGGCACCCGCCTGTCAGAAAACACGTTCACATATCCGCCTCCACCGCCGTCACGTTCATTGCACACTGGACTAACAGCGGTATCTTCAACACGAATGGCTGCTAATGAAAGAAACAAATAAAAAGAAGCGCCGTTTGGTGCTGGTTTGAAAAGCAATAAAGCATGAACCACACAGACCGGGATGAGTGGATGCTAGAAGTGTCAAAACAATGCCACAGAGCCAACGTGACTATTAGCCGCACAGTTCAAATATGTCTCATAACCCGCCGACGTTAATATTGCAAGTCGGCTGAAACGTCAACTACGTTTACCTAAACAGTTTCAAACGTCACGTTGCGATAACGTCGATGTCACGCGACGGCGGCTGTCCCGAGTTGCTGCCTATTCGCGATGATATCTCACGTTAGCTAACTAGCGCAGGTTAGCTTTCCAGCGAGCTAACGCTAGGAGCAGCTAGCACTCAAGTCGAGCAAAACCAACATGGGATCAAGAGGCGAAGAGCGAGACACCTTCATTGCAGCTGCGGCGCGTCTAACGAGAAGGTGGAGATCGGCGGTGTGAACATCGCAAGGTGGTAAACGTCTTGTCTCGATGAGGAGAGCAGGAGAGAAGACCGCGACCCGAGCGCTGCTTCTTAAAGAACACTGTTCCGCTGCCCCCCACAGCTCGTATGCAGAACTGAGACTAGGCTACGAGACAAAATGTTCCAGTGTTAATTTATGTAACGAAATTAACAGAGCGCGTTTATGTTGCTTTGCTTGCTTCTGATTCTGAACAAAAATAAACAAAGAGGAGAGACCAGTTGAGGCATTGCTGACAGCTTTTAAATTATTTGAGAGTATGTCGTGGTTTGCAGCATCACCACTAGATGGTACCAACTCTCACACCTTTCCTTCAACAAGGGAACTTCCCCCCAAAAGGTGTAAACAATGCAGGTGACTCGAGCTTTTAGAAAACATCGCAATATGTCTTCATGTTTGTTTAGACAGTCCAATGTTTGTACTGGTACTGAATATCTACGCATGAAATCTGTCTTAATTTGTACTTCATGGAACTACCTGACCTTTCTTACATAACTAACTTGACAATAAAGCGTTTGAATTCCCGTTACCGCGATTCTCTCTTTAAACCACTCTGCCCGCAACCGCCACCTCTCCGCGCCAATAACAAACCGTCTCCGACTGATGACGTAAGCCAACGCGTCACCATGTTTTGAGTTTCAACCACGGCTCCGGCGCGTCCCAAGGCTCCAAATACCGATTGTCTACATGCCAACCCAGAAAAGTAGTCCCTCTGTCAAAGACAACGATGGAAACCGGAGCCGGTGTCAGCTCGATGGTCATGTATGAGGACGAGTCTATCGATGTTCGTTACCGAAACGGAGCCCACTTACAACTGTCGCCGTGTGGCTGTGAATTCATGCTGGCGAAACCCTCTGATCCCTCCGGACATCCTCTGCAGCCCATCGGGAGGGTCCGACAAAGGACAAGGTTCACCATCAGCACGTACAAGGTGCAAACATGAACTATTGTTGGCTGTTATTCCCAGTAAAAATAAAAGGGAGGCTGCAAGCTGTTGTTTACTGGGGAAAGGTGCACAGTTAACTTGTAGTGTGCACGCTGTATTCAATATTATTGTGTCATTTTACAGGAGTTGATGGTCGCTGCATTGACATTTAGGAATAAATACGCTACTCGACCATACTTGCCGGAGGAGCTCATCCTCGTTGACCACAAGAAGGTACCAAAAGCTATGTCCTAGTCCTCAATCCTTCATGTTGCATAAGCCAATTCTATATTTCACCTCACTTTTTATCTTTTCCTCCTAAAGCCTTTTTTCAGTCTCGACTCTGAAGTGCAGTGGCCCGAGTGGTCTTCTTGTGATGGGGACCTCGCACCTGGAGTCCAGACTATCATCGGGGCGGAGGGGGGGCGAGCTGTGTTGATGCTGTCGCCCTCAGGTGAAGAATTCTGCGTTGAGTTTACATGCATCCTGAGTCAGACTCCAAAGCAGTGCCGCACCGTGCAGGGTTGCAGCATAGAAAGCAGCTCAGACAATCAGCAGCAGCAAGGCAGAAATCCGATCCATCGCACCACGAATGAGGAGGACAAAGAGCTTTTTCAGGAAAGTGGAAGCAAACGGAACGGGTCCACAAGATCACGGTCTTGTTCTCCTCAGCTCATCGGCACCGCTCAGCCAAAGGTAATGCTTGACAGTCATATTTCTCTGCTTGTATAAAAGCTTGTATTAGATATTTGACCTCCCCGCCCCCCCCCAAGCCAGAGAAGATGTACCAATCCACCACAGTGGTCCAGCATCACTCCTGCTGCGCTGTTGCCCCCATCTGGCGCTACCCTCTGTCCCTGGCTCGCCGTCTCCGGACGGCTCACCTCTCTAAACCTGAAGATGTCCGAGTGGAGGGAACCAGTGATCTCACAAAGGCACAAAGGATAATACCAATTTCTGACATATCCACAGAAGAGAGAAGGTCTCACCTTCCTCGGGCGCTGCCTCTCACATGTCCATCGCCTCACTGGCACAGGTTAAATGATCAATTGATTTGCGTATGTAACAGACATGGAGAGCTCAAACTAACAATGTCCGACTGATTTAAGCTTCCTCCCTCATGTATTTAAGGTGGAAAGTTAAAGAGCCACTGGCCAAAACAGAACATTCAGACCAAGATCTCCGAACAGAGTTGGTGAAAGTGATGTGGTGTCAAGGAGTCACTTACAGGTTAGTATGCAGGTTTTCAGGATTAACAAGGACCTGTTGTTTAAGTTTTTTTTTTTTATTAATTTGAAAACTAGAACACTTCTGATAGAGATGTTAACAGTTTGTTATGATAAGTAAGTGACAAGTTGACCTGTTCTCCTGTTTAGGATACTAAGTGGGGCGGTCTCAGTCATCGAGGTTTCCCCGGGAGACGGATCAGTCATCCGCTCAAACAGTGTCCTTAACACTTATTTTACTCATTACAAGCCGGATCCCCTGTCACAGCAGGTACATTTCTTGCCTTTTATCATGTAACTATCATAAAATGTAAAATAAATAAAAGATGCACACTATCAGCTTTTTTGGGGAGCATAAATACAAATCCCATCTGGCATTATTTGATTGTCTATTCCACAGGTGAAAGAGATGACGTACCATCTGAACAACCTTCAACCAGATGTCCCAGGACAGCCGTACTCTGTGCGCTCTATCGTGAGTCGTGCAAGCAGGTGAGCCGCTGCTTCACAAAAGTTTTATGAATTTGACCCCCCTCCCAAGTCAGTGACCATCATGTCACCGGGTCACAGGATCCTCACTTGCTACAACGAGGCCAGGCAGTCACTGAAGCTCCCTGCCACACCCAGCTGCTTGCAAGAGGTGCGAGAAGTACTGCGTGCCCATATTACTTCAACTGTTGTTGTTGTTTACACAGTGTTCAGGCTTCTAAATTGTTTGTGAATTTGTTTCCAGGGCAGTGACGTATCTAAACCAGCAAGGATAGAAGAAAGTCTGTCCCATCGGTTAGAGGTTGAGCAGCGTGTGAATGTCACACAGACGGTAGCCTGCAGGTGAGTTATGTCTTTCTGATAATTCTTCTGGCATTTGTATCCACACATGAGTGATTCAATATGCTTTCAATTCAATTCAGGTCAGATCTAGTAGCTGCAGAACTGGAGAAGATAAAACGATTTAACTGTATCCTTTGCAGAGGAGCTATGGACAAAAAAAAGAAATGAACCATTTTATGTTATTATGTCAGCCAGTAGATAATTGTGAGGAACATCGTGCACGCCCTTTAACAACCACTGTCCAGTTCTGCTGGAAAACAACCACCTGCTAAGAAGTGACAAGGGTTGTGCAAAGCTGGAAGGTAGATCTGCAGAAGAGGTGACTGATGAACCAGTGAATGAGAACTGCATCGCTGAGGCTCTTCAGAGGACATCCAAAGCCATACAGGACATCGATGCTCTAATATCTGCAGCCTCACTGACTTGAGAGTCCTGCATTTATCCAGAATATCTGCGTCCTCAAGTGAAGTGCATGAGTGTTAATGTAGCTTACTACATGTCTCAGGTGCAATATGGATATCAGGGCCAGAATCCTCCAATGTAACAGTGTCACCAAAATGTTGTTATAAAATTATTAAAATACAAATTCCTCCACATGGGAAAGACTTTCTAGTATTCAATATATAGAGACCGTTAAGTTACTTAAATGCAAGTACATTTTGTAAGGGCAGTCTATGTTTTGAACAATTAAATAATTAATTTCTAATCAGAAGGTTGGTGGCTTCGCAAACATACACATCACTTAAAACCAGAATCCAAAATATAGTGATTGTGTACTGAAACATTTTTTTCAAGGAATTACTTTGTGAAATCCTCATTCATAGGACGAGTGTATGTAATGGTATGTGTGGTCATGCTTTCTCTTGACTTTATAGGAATAAACTGGATTTCCACTCAAATTGTACATTTTCTCTTCAAACTAAATGAGCTGCCTTCGAGGGACATTTTAAAACAAAAATCAAGGAACCAAGGAATGTGCCTTTGTCTCTCAAAGTGAACCAGCACAACAAACCATCTCTGGCACAGTTAAGTTTGACTTACAAAAATGATGGAGTTTTAAACATAAAACCCCTCTAGACAAAGACATATTTTTTGTTGAGCAATACATTGATAATTAATTGGTATCTTTGACGGATACATTCATTGTTATAATTACTGTGTATTTTATGATCAACAATAAATATGCATGCTTTGGTAATTGGGTGTGGCGAAGTACATTTTAAACTATTTTAAATTGCTGTTATATCTGGAAATAAAACAATCTGCGTTGGTCGAATCGTCCTCTCTAGTCATAAGACCGGTCGCCAGGTCACATGTTTTGTTTTTGTTTAATCCCTGCTAAAATCGGCCGGGGATCGAACGGGATAAATCTGATCACAGATCGGTGGGTGGTCCGCTGCTGCCAGCGTCAACCCCCCGTTGTCTGTTTTCTTTTCTCGCGAGAAGCCGCGAGGTTTCCGGTGTTGTGTATGTTCCTGGAAACATGGCGGCCAGCTTCCGCGGCCGTCCTATTCGGAGTCTTCGGATGCGAGGTGAGCGTGAAAAACTCGGCTGGGTGGCGTCTGTGATTGCGGCATATTGTAAAAACACACTATCTCACACACGTGATGACCCTGGCGTGATCCCTCAACATGTCCCCGTTGTGTGTTTTTTCCCACAGGTCGGAATGACAGCGGGGAAGAGAACGTACCGCTGGATCTGACCAGAGGTAACGTTAACCAGAGCTTCATCACATCACCCTGAAAGCGAGTATTGTTCAAAATGGATGAGGCGCTCTTCTGCAAACAATAGCCCCCGTGCAGGGAAAAGACAGTTATTCCCTGCAGTTGTCATGCCGCTGCTGTTGTCATTTCTTCAGTTTCCCCTTTCTGTTTCGTGTAATAACATCGGTAGCGACATCATAACAGGCGGCGGCTAACTAACTAGCTGAGTTAGCGTCGGCTAGCTACCACGGCTAACCAGCCATGACGACGCTTTGTTGTTTTGATTGGTACGAGTGGGCGAGATAGCCCGTTATTCGGCCAACCGACCACCGGTGCTGTAGTCATGCATTAGTCATCGCTGACTGTATGAGAAAGTGGGTTACGAGGCTGCAAGATGAGTCGCATTTGGACAGCGCAGGGTGTTTTTTTTTCTTCTTCTAGCCGCAGACTCGTACACAGCTGGGTCACATTGACTCAAACCGGTGAGAGCAGCAGCAGCGGCAGCGCACACCGGTTTGTTTACACGCAGCAGCGGTTCTCTGAACCCAGGCTTCGGCTGTTTTTTTGTTGTTGTTTTTCGTATATTCCGTGTACCTTACAGGACATTTCGTCCCCGAAATTGCAGTTAAATGCAGCACGAAAAAACACCAGTATTTTATGAGAATTTACGTAATTATGTGAAGAACCGTGCGTGTCAAACGTGATTGTTTTCTACAGTTCCGTGTCCAGTAATTTAAGACCACGAAGCCCAAAATGTCAAATGTTCTTTCATACACACCCACAGGGAAGACATAATTACTGAAACCAGATCGAGTATATTTATGGAAGAATTGCAGGGATTGAGATGCACTCATGCACCTTTGGTTACCTTAGGTTGAAAATCCTTTTCAATGCCTTTCTTCATATCTAATGACAGAATCCTCAGTTTAGTAATCTTATTGTTAAATGCTACATTTTTTTGCAGGAGTTTAATTGATGTAAGTAATTGATTGCTAATGAACTCTTATCATTTGGTGCAACCTCCGGTAAAATATATGGCCATCCAATTCATATATTATTTATCCATCTCTCTATCTCTCTTTCAAATGCTGTTTGTGGAATATTTTCCCCAAGCATCCTAAACTAACGCTGGGGCACCCTTTCTTTCCAAGATAGTTCTTTGTTTTTAATACAGTTTAAAAGCCTTCGGTCTGCCGTTAAGATTTAGCATTAGCATTGTACGAGCACATGCAGTAATCGTTGACGGGAGCTGAAAACAAAAATAGACTTCCTCGCTCAGGCGACGCTTGTACCGCTGTGACCCTGTTTTGCCTGTATACACTAAATATGTTTGACCAGATGAACCACCAACCTTCCTGCAACATGTCAATTACAGTTCATTGGCTACATTTTTGTCCAAGCTGAATCGTATTTCCTTTTTCTTTTTCCCGACAGAGCCATCAGAAAACTTCCGCGAAATCCTTCAAAATGTGGCCAAACCACACGGAGTCAGTAATATGCGAAAACTGGGCCACCTGAACAACTTCATAAAGGTAATGCTTTTGACCACTACCTGTAAACATTTTGCGGTACATATGGTGTGATTCAACCATCTGAGATCAAGGCGATCAACCTGCCTGTGTGTGTGTGTGTGTGTGTGTGTGTGTGTGTGTGTGTGTGTGTGTGTGTGTGTGTGTGTGTGTGTGTGTGTGTGTGTTACTTAGTGTACAGATGTAATGTTTGTAAATTAATAAAAGAGGGAGAATATGAGTGATTTTTGCAGCTACTGCAAATGCAGAAGTTATTTTCATGTCAACAGTGGTTTAACATTTTCGTGTTGTTGTGCGGATCTGGCCTGTGACGTGACCAGTTACCTCTGCTGGGTGTTTTTCTGCCTACCAGCCAACACACATTTTCCTAGTCTCGAGCCCTCCTGTTATTTTCATTAGTGTTAGTGACATTATTTCACCCCAATAGCAAATTGGGAAATGCTGAAGACATTTACTTCATCCTTGATGAAGCGGTCCTGCCCAGCGGTTGCTGAGTTCAGCGTAGTAAACTGCAGGTTTTTAGCCAACTCTGTCCGTCATGGGCGTAGTTTGAATATTGGTTGGGTGCTTTGCAGCCAATAAGTGCTGGCCCTCACAAAGCTGCAGCTGGCACTGTAGCGGCATGGCGGCTGAATGTAGGCCTGTCGTGCACCCAACTCTCCTGTGTAGAACTGACAGGAGGGTAATAGCCATGACATGTGAGTGTGAGAGAGAGAGAGCTGTGCCTCTGATTCCTTTTTAAAGCGTTCCAGGACAGCAGGGGTGACCTAGCCCCCCCCCCCAGAGAGTGTCACATGCCCCTCTCCCCATCTCCTCTCCCCTCCTCCTGCCAGCATGAGCTCTGACATCACAGCTGGCTTAAAGCAACCGTCTACCCACCATGGCTAACGTCAGCCATCCCGCCTTTCTCCGTCTCTCTTTCCTCTCTTATGCACGAGGAGAGATTAGATTTACGGCTTGCTTCAAGGAAGAACTTGTTGTTTTTATAATGAACTGCTTTTGTGGGCATTGGACTTGAACGTTATTCTTTGGGCGTCCCTTTAATGACGGAGGATCTGCGGTGAGGAAAATTCTGAATGTGGTAGTTAGCGCTAAACAACTGTGTCTGCAGCTCTGCCTCGCAGGCTACAGAAAGCAGGAACAAATAGGCTACAGGCAGAAGATTAATAAAACCTATTTTCTGTTATCCGTGTTTTTCATGTGTAATCAATGTATTCATATGAGCAAGTGCACTTAAAATAACAAATGGTGGAGGTGACTCAAGCTGACTCTAACTACTGGACCTGTGAATGTGTTGCTCCAATGCTTTTCTGATTAGAACCTCCATCTACCACCAGTGAACGCATGACATTATCTACTGCAAACGCGCATTTAACAAACAAGTGGAAAGATGTGAGACAAACACCGGCGTTGCCCATGCAGAACTCCGCAGGGACGTGTTGTACTGTTTGTCAAATTAAATTGTGTGTTAGTTTAATGCTTTACACTGTAAAACGGCACGCCGCTCATTGTGAAAGATTGTCTGAAACTCTTTGAATGTCTCTCACGTCTTGACCAAAGCCATGTTAAGGGTTTCCTTGTATGAATCAATTAATGTATGTTTTGTTCTGTGTTACAGCTGCTATGCAGCATTAGCCACCGCGAGGAAAACTTTGGGTTTACATATGAAGAAATCATTATTTGGTAAGTGTTTTAGACAGCCTTGGTTATTAATTGTACACCATTGTAAGTTCCTCTGGATGAAAGCGTCAGCTAAATGAAAAATGTAAATGTTTTCGTCATTACATTTATTTATTCAGCCAAAGTCAGGTCTGTCTAGATGCTTTTCTTTGAGTTTTCAATTGAAAAACAGCAGGATTTAGAAGTCATTGTGCTTATGAAATCGTTAAGGGGATTACAGCACTTTGTTGTGTGTTTGATTTGAACCCTTAGTCTGAGACTAGCTCTGCTGAATGAGGCTAAGGAAGTGCGTGCTGCCGGATTGCGGGCACTCCGCTACCTCATTAGAGACACCACGGTGCTGCAGAAGGTCCTCCGACTACAGGTGGACTATTTGATAGCAAGGTAAGATCCTGCTTCAGTCACACATGTTTTCCTCCTGCTGACACATTTGTTGTGCTCCTACTTGCTCCCCTGTGGTAATGAGAACAATGCATTACTAATTAAGCCTGTGTGCTTGTTTTAGATGTATTGACATCCAGCAGAGCAATGAGGGAGAAAGGACTCAAGCTCTTAGATTAGTCCGAAAGGTAAGCTCATATGTATTTATTTTTTTCATCCCATAACTCTACCGCCTCAGTCTCTGTCATAATGCTGAAGTTGCCATGTGCCCTCAGTGCTTCGCCGTAATGCCACCAGAAAGATCATTGGGTTAACAGTTGTGTCAGTGTGTGGACAATTGCAAAAGTTTGCAGGCACGTTATTTATATACCATTCTTTAGATTACTGTAAACTCTCTTCTCTCTCTCACACACACACACACACACACACACTCTTGCACAAATACAGTCATGGTCTTATTTCAGAAAAGCACTACAGGCAATCAACTCAATGAAACAACCCCTTGTTCACAGCCCCTTATGTTTAAAAAAAAAAAAAAAAACATAGTTATTTGTCCCAACTTGTTTGATGACTTGTATATTCCTCCTCTCTGCCACTGTAGATTAT